TATCGTATCTGGAGGTATGAGTTTCAGATCGAAACAAAACCCAAGGCTCATGCTGTATTAGTTTGCCAGCCACGCTTCCTCTCCACATTTTCGATGGAGCGGGCTTCGTAGAAGTTTTAGGAGGTAAGAGATTTTACCAAAAGACAGGGATAGCGAAGGAAGCTCCCTGCCTTTGGCCGAACATTCTAAAGAGAGGGCAGATCCAACAAAGAATTAAAAAAATGTGGGCTTTAATAAGCGAACCATTCCGGCGCACTCCTAATCCATGAGTTCAGCCAGTGATAGTAAGGAAATCTCGCATAAATGTATGAGTACAAAAATTAAACAATATATAAGATTAGAACAGAAAATAAAAGCGATGAAACTTCTAAAATGGACGCACCTGAAGACCACTTGTAGTGTAGTAAGGTATTTCAAACTTCACTTGCATGGGAGGTTTTCCTTCTGCCTCCTCACTCATGATTGAAGGCAAGGAGAAATGTGCACGCATCAGATATTCACGTCCACCTGAAAGTGCAGTCGATTGGTAATGGCGGATTTTCCTTGTTCAAAACACTTGAAATCGAATAGTGTGAAGGAAACAAGACCTAATCGACAGGAAAAAAGTAGTTTCTCAATGTCATAGCGAAAAGATCGAACAAACTACAAAGCGAAAGTATGGAACTGAAGAGAGTTGGGCTCATATCATCACTGCTAGTTACATTATCCGAGAAGATAAAGATTAAGCGTGCAGTCATTCAGGTCAGCGTTTTGAGCAACCAGAAAGGTACAGCAGGGCACATCGTTGTTGGGGAATCCCCAACAGGGAGGTCGTATTTGATCCGCGAGAGAGTGGTGGTTCGTATTTGGGCTGAGAAAAGTGTTTATTTAGGTACTCTCCCCCCCGTCGAGAGAAATTTTTGCGGAAATGTGGAGATTTTTTCCGGAAATTTTGGAAAGAGGCTGAAATATCGTGAGCAATCGTGAGAAAGGGAGGGGAGGGCAGAGATGGTATTGTTTCGGCGCTTTCCTGTTTCACATCTGGTATTTTCTCGCCTCTCGATCCATCCTGCTCGACCGGCTGGATCGGATGAGGTTGGGACAGAGGGGCAAAGCGGGGTGGGTGGGGGGCGTACCCGGCCGGCAAAAAATGGGGAGTCGTAACGGAGTATAAATCGCCCACAATGTGTGCCTAAGGTAAAAGCAATTGATCGTACGCATTAATCTTATATCCAACAAACTGGAAACTGGGTGGCGAATTGTACACCGATTTAAGTCTGTACGGTATTTTGAACAGACCGACGCTGTATTTGAATTTTGGTGAATGTTCATCATGAGATCAGGGATGAGTAACGGTCGGGACATGATTAGCAATCGATTGTCGCTTGAACTGCGATTAGAATGATCATAGAGATTATTGTTTAATAAAATTGTACTAGCCCCAAATGGTACAGCCCCCGTTTTCATTAATCCAGCAATGATCTTTTGAAAGAACATTCTTCAACAAAGGTCTATGAATCTCTTTCGTGCAAATCATTTCCCTTTGGTTTCTATACGCATCACAAAAATCGCTGACAAAATGCAACGATACATGCCATACTAATTTCGTTTCAATGACGCAAAGCATGATCAAAGACATGCAGACATGAATTATTTCAAAAGAAACTTCTGCAGATATGATAGTAACAATCACGGAAAAGGTTAGCATACATAATTACTACATCAACTGTTACTATACCTGATTACAGCAGATAGGAAACATCCACCTGTAACCGATGAAATGACAAGAAAACCTGCGAAATACAAAACTGAAAGTTAGTCGCACCATACCTTGACCATGTACTCGACTCGAGAATGTGTGTGCTTTTCAACAACAGCCTCGACCCAAATGAGTGGCTTTACCTATAAAGAAAACGTATCATTATAGGCATGGAAATATCAAAACCATTATCATGACACACTTCTTTTGCTACTCAACAAAAGTCTTTGTCGTTCTTTGTCCCTGCGTTTGCAAGGCCGTGTTCATAGGCGGCGGCGAGCCAAAAGATCGTAGATTTGAGAAAAAAAAACTGCGAAAAGAACCAAATTTTCGCTGATTCTCCATTCCTAAAGCTCTCTGACTGCCCCAAAATGTCCAGTGATCAAAACAAAACCATCGATCCCTCTCTAGACCTTTTTGCAAACATTCCATTTATCCGAATCTTCGGATTTCCATTACTTCAATCGAAACATAAACATCCCCCTTCGCGGACTACCTGATTCTCCAAAGACGCTGCGTATAAGCAAGGTTGAAATGACCATGCGATCTACTTAAAGGCAGTTGGCACGATAAATCCCCAAGACGAGTAGGATTAATACGCCTGGCAGGACGGAATTCCGCGACCCTGAGCAGGCTGCATAATGCCTTTTCCAAGGGAAGGTGCCCTTATAAGGGCCCTATCAAGCCACAACATTCCGACCCAAACGCCCGCCACGCCCGCCCGCCCACAAATGGACGACCGTTCCTGACGCTCGTATTCATTCATTTGCTAAGCAAATTATGAAGCGAAGGGATTGGTATGAAGCGGCCGTGATGCTGCATGCATATATGAGGTACACATCTTCGGTAGCGGTTATTGGCAAGATGCCTACAGGGAAACTCGTCCAAAATGATGAGAACGGATGCTCCTTTTTCGCAGGATTTTGACCGTTTCACTCCGTTCTTTCGCCATTTTCCCCACTATATAGCGCCCTACTAGCATTTTAGGCCGAGCACAAAATCATCGTGCCAACTGCCTTTAAGACAAAATGTATAGCTCACTTCCTGACTTGGCCGTACAGCACCACTTTCTCCCGTAGAAAATACAAAGGAATGGGGCTGCATGGTTCGTGATACCCCGGTGTCGAGTCCATCCCGGCTCGCGCTGCCGCACGGCCAGCAAGGTGCCTAGCAATGACCAAATGAGCTACTGGTCTGCTCTGTCTCACTTATCGTCGTATTTACTGCTGAGTGCGTGTTTCGCTGCGAAACCTTGGAATCGACACAAGTGCTGCACCGTGATTATTGCACGGAGTAAGGAGTACCGGGGTACTCTACCCTTATCGCACGGAGTAAGTAGTCGGTACCGAGGTACCCTACACTACGGCCCTGTTTCCCATGCACTGGTAAGTGGACAAAAAGGGATGCTACGGCAGCTGCGGACTCTTTCTCGTCGTACATGGCAAGGACAGTCCTCGATGGTGAGTGTACCGTCTATCTTTAATCTAATGAATCTCATAAAGGACGAACGTGTTGACGGTTAAAAATTTCCAGTGCAAGTAATGCGCTAGGTCTGTAAATCAAGGTAGCAGTGGTACCTTTAAAGCCCGAAGCCCTTCGGATAGCATATTGAAACAGCTGGACTAAAGAAAAGGCAGAGTGGATCTTCTTCAAGCTTAGCGGCACGAAGTACCCCTATCTACATAAAAATGCGACAATTTCGGACAACAAAGCAGCAGGCATACCTGAGTTGTGAGACGATAACTCATCAGTTCGAACTCGCCATCTGGCGGAATGAATGAGATGGTTCGCTCAGCTTCAAAACGCGATAGCCGTACGCATTGGTGGAACTTTGACATCCTCCAATTCGACTCCTTTACCATTTCGA